CCCCAAAACCCCAAAACCCCAAAACCCCAAAACCCCAAAACCCCAAAACCCCAAAACCCCTAAAAATGCAGGATAATTGAAATATTGATACTTAATAAATATGAGCAAGAACCAACCACTTAAAAGAACCGACCTTGGTGAGTGGGAGTTGAGTAAGGGTACAGGGGTGTAAAGACTGGCCATTGGGAGGGGACTCAGGGGGTTTTAGGGAGAAATTGTATTTTTGGGATGTAGAAATTAGTTTAGCCGCTTTTATCTTCTGTAAACTTCCAATACCTGATTTTTTAGAATTCTTATGATTGTCTGAAGTAGCTGGCGATGTTTTATCACTTTAATGGAGAATTTTACCAAAATAGGAAAGCGTGAAAGCAACACAAACAAATTCCTAAACATCATGATGAAGGACCTCTTCATCGATGATTTCAATAACGTAAGTGCAAGTTCAAAGAGGACCCTTAACCCAAGGCTTCTGATATTTTTGGAAATCTTATGACCCCGAACACCTCTGGTCTCTTTATCCGAATTGGCAAATTTTGCCACGCTTTAAATCTATAATTATCCATAACTGGATGCCATAAGTTCTCAAAGAATTTCTGCTAATTTTTCCGTATAGCATCTAGAAGAACCTGAGGAAGAAACATTCTCAGAGGTTATAACCAGGTCTTGGGGTGATCTCATCGAGAGAATAAAAATTATTTTTACAAAATACTCAATTTACGAAAATTCCGGAAAGAGTAAGCATTAGATTCTCGATTTTCCTCTTTTCACCTAAGGTCAGCTATGAAGAGTAGAGAGAAATCTAGCATAAAAACTCACATTTATATAGTCTTCCGGAAAATTAAGCAAGAATGTGCCTATATTGGCTACCAAAGCTGGAAATCAACCAGCATGAGAACTGAGATTCCCTCTCTCATCACAATGATCATCATGATACTTACAATCCTATTTGTAATAATTAAGAGTAAGTGTTTGTTCTTAGAGTGTGGCAGCTCTCTCAGATGCCTCACAATACCAATTTTATCCAAATTTTGCTTGATATTTTCCTAAATTTTATTTACTATTACTCGGCGATCAATCAATACCTGATAATAGAGATAATATAATGTAGATTCAACAATATTTAAAGCATTATAAAGAAATCTAGGTGGTACTCTAAACTTTTTAGATACCCTATCTTGCCATAAAATCTGTCCAATATCCGTATGAGCATATTTTAGATATATATCGGTCTGTCCTTTCCTTCTCAGCAGCTGGTTCCTTCTCTTCATATACTATCTCAACAAGGGAACGATATCCTCCAAAGTAAAATTGAAACAGTCAAGGCAACAAATCCTTGAGATGAGAGAAATAATTAAGATGATGCCTTTTGGAGTTGTCATAATACCCAAAAACCCAAATGCTTCTCAAAAGAACTTCCTTAATGACGAATTCAAACAGAAATACATTGGAAAATGGGAAAATCTTGAAGAGCTCTCAAGAATTCAGGGAAAATATGATGATTCAGATTTTAACCAAGAGAGCTCCAAGAAGAATTTTAATCGTTTTGAGACAGACAAGAATGTTATTTTAAGAATCAACAAAGATAATATCTGTTATAAGTGTAACCACTCTGGCGATAGAGCCTGTGACATTAGTACAGCTATTGTTAATTGGGAAGGCATTCCTTCCTACATGCATATTATTAATGACAATACTGAGCTGATAAAAGCAGAAGAATCTAAGATGAACCAAAAATGCCAAGAAATAATGTTTACTAATGCTTCTCATGATCTTAGAACTCCCTTGAACTGAATCCTAAACTCTTTCTCGATACTTGAAAACTCTTTCAAAACAACAAACAAACTCATCACACCGCTAGTGTGCCATCTTTCCCACTCTCAGCAGCAACTTCTAGCTAGCAACAATCTCGAGATCAAAAATTTTCTGAAAAACGGTACAAATTCTTCCCACTTGCTCCTTGCTCTTGTTGATGATATTTTGAATCTTTCCAAGATCAAAAGCGGAAAATTTGAAGTCAAAAAAGAGAAATTCCAAATCCAGGACCTCTTCACTGAGATCTACTCTATCTTCAAACCCCAATGTGACCAAAAGAAACTAAAATTTGATATCCAAATCTGTGAAGAAATGCAAAAATTTACTCTAATATCAGACCCTACTGTAATTCGTCAGATCCTGATCAACCTCGTGTCAAACTCACTCAAATTTACATTTGCATCTATTAAAGGTGTAAAAACTAAAGAATCTGACTTAATGTCTAGTGATACTATGAAATGATTAACCCCGGATATACCCCTATCAGATCCCTTAAATCTCGCTTTTAAAAGTCACATAACAATCTCAGCTACCTTCACAAAAAGGAAAGGGAAAAATTACGTCCATTTCTCAGTGGAGGACTCTGGAGTGGGAATACCTGCCCAAAAGAAGGACAAACTGTTCAAGCTGTTCCACCTGGTCACCGAGGACGGAGGCCTCAGCAACAATGTGACTGGTTTGGGACTTACTGTTTGTAAAGAATATACAGAAGCTCTAGGAGGAGAAATTTGGCTCGAATCAGAAGAAAATTTAGGAACAATAGTGAGTTTTCTCGTTCCTTGATTATAAATATGTTTATTTCATACCTATTCTAAAATTTATAAATCTCATAATTAGTTAAAAGCTCAACATTTTAACCTTAAAATGGGGTTTTGGGGTTTTGGGGTTTTGGGGTTTTGGGG